GGGGGCGGGGCCAGGCCCAGGGTGTGGGGGGCGATGACCTCACACAGCAGCACCTGGGGGCGGGGCCAGAGAAAGGGGCGGGGCCTCGTGAAATGGGCGGGGCCAACAGCACCTGGGGGCGGGGCCAGAGAAAGGGGCGGAGCCTCGTGATATGGGCGGGGCCAACAGCACCTGGGGGCGGGACCAGAGAAAGGGGCGGAGCCTCGTGAAATGGGCCGGGCCAGCAGCACCTGGGGCGGTACCAAAGGAGAGGGGGCGTGGTCAAACTCATGGGGGTGTGGCCAACAGAAAAGGGGCGTGGCTCCAGAAATGAGGCGGGACTAACATGCCAAACATTGGGTGGGGTTTAAAAAGGGGCGTGGCCAATAAAATTTGGGGGTGGCCATGTAAGGGGTGGGGCTAAACTATTTAAGGGCATGGAAATTAATTTTGGGGCGGGGCTAAAACCCTTGAGGGGTGGGGCTAATCCATAGTGGGCGTGGCCTGGAAGAGGGCGTGGCATGCTGCCGGGGGCGTGGCTTACCTCTCCGAACTGCCCCTCCCCCAGCTTCTCCCGGAAGCGGAGGCGGTGCCGGGGGAAGGACAGGAGGGCGGGGCCGTGGGCGGGGCTGTGGGCGGGGCCAGCCAGGGCGTAGGCGGAGCCTCCGGTGACGTCAGCCTCGGCGTAGGCCCCCGCCCCCGGCTCACCTGTGCAGGTGGGAGGGGCACAGGTGAGGTCTCTGTGGGCGGGGCTAAAGTGGGCGTGGCCATCCCCGTGCCCCGCCCTTACCGTCGGTGTTGATTGGCTTGGCAGTGGCGGGCGGGGCCAGGGCAAGGCCTCCTATTGGTCGGGCGTAGGTGGCCAGAAGCAGCCGATAGGCCGGGTTGGCTGGGGGGGCGTGGTCAGAGAGGGGCGTGGTCAGAGAGGGGCGTGCCTATTTGAGGGGCGTGGTTTCCCTCCCCCCTCCCATTCTCGAGGGATTCTGGGGCCATTTTGAGCCTTTTCCTCAATCCCAGACTGAATTTTTGGGGCAATTTCAGCCAAAATTGAAGCTGGGGAGGAAAATCCTCCCTCGCTCTTTTCCCCCCTCCTCTTTCTCTTCTCTTTATCCTTTTTTCCCCCCTTTTTCTTTTTCTTTTCACCTTTTTTCCTTTTTTGCTCCTTTTTTCTTTTTTCCTTCCTTTTTTCTTCTTTTCCCCTCCTTTTTCCTCCTTTTTCCCCCTTTGTTTCCATTTTATCCCTTTTTCCGCTTTTACCCCAAATTTTCCCCTTTTCCCTCCTTTTTTCCCCTTTCCTTTTTCCCCTTTTCCTTTTCCTCTTTTCCCCCCTTTCCCCTTTTCCCTTTCCCCCTCAGTTTTTCCCTTTTTCCTCCTTTTTTTCCCTCCTCTCTCACCAGCCCCGGGCGGCAGCGGGGGCGGTCGGGGCCGTGCCCGGGTGGGTTCCTGGTACTCCCCGGTTCCGGTTCCGTTCCCGGTTCCGTTCCCGGTTCCGGTTCCGATCCGCTCGTAGCGGGGTCCCCCCCGCGCCCCTACCCCTCCCGTGGCGTTGTTGATGACCACGGTGTCCCCCGAGAGCTGCACCCGCAGCGCCGCCTCCGGCCCGCAGCCCTGAGACCAGCACAAACCAGTAAAAACCCGTAAAAACCAGTCAGAACCACTTAGAAACAATTAGAACCGGTTCCAAGCAGGTAGAACTGGTTCCGGGCAGTAAAAACCAGTTCAATCCCTCCAAAATCCCTTCCAGTTCCTCCCAGGTCCCTCCCAGTTCAATCCCAGTCTCCCTCAAATCCCTCCCAGTCCATCCCAGTCCCTCCCAGTCCCCCTCAAATCCTTCCCAGTCCATCCCAGTCCCTCCCAGTCCCTCCCAGTCCCCCTCAAATCCCTCCCATTCCATCCCAGTCCCTCCCAGTCCCTCCCAGTCCCCCTCAAATCCTTCCCAGTCTATCCCAGTCCCTCCCAGTCCCTCCCAGTCCCCCTCAAATCCCTCCCAGTCCCTCCC